CTCCCTCTGTATACCTTACGGGGGGGAACTCTCTAAGAGACACTAAAACCGCTTTTTTAAACCCCTAAAGGGTACCATTAGCACACCCGTCCTTTTTATATGGGAGGCCCCTCCCCCGGGGCTCTTCCCCCTTGCCGGATTTACTTATTTTCACCCCAACTAACTGCCCCTGGGACTCCCAGGATGGGTATGCACCGTAATATGTCTACTTAAACTAATTGGATATATTGGGAAAGATCCCGAGAAAAATATATTAGCTTTTGATTGCAAGACTTCAAAGATCATAAAATAGCTGCATTTACTTCCACGAAACAATTAAAGAAAATGATTCTACAAATCTGATCTGATCTGAAGCCTGTTATTATTCCATCTCGGAACATAGGCCACTGACAAAGTCCCTCCAGTCCCCTCTGTCCCTGGTCAGGCGTTCCAGCTGATGTCAGGAAAGACCTCTCGACTGGATGGTGTGGTCTGTGTCTCTCCTTCAGCTGTTCCGCGGTTTCCCACTCCGTCTACTTCCCTACGGGTTCCAACGAAGAGCTTGTCGGACAATGCAGTAATTTGGTCTTCTGAGTGTGTGGCCGATCCATGTCCATTTTCTGCTTGTCGATTCTACAAGTAATATATGTTAATCCCGACATGCAGTGAGCGTTTGCACTTACCTCACTGAATCAGAGTTTAATAAAACCTTGTCCTCCGCGACACAAAGAACTTGATCCGGGTCTTCAGTCACATTCAACTTGTGTTGTATTTCACGTTTTAGATCGCCAACTGTCGTGGATGGAGGCATGTTTATATTCAGCGGCTGAGGCGATTCAGAAATTATCACAGGAATATTAAGGAACGCTTCAGGTGTGAACACACACTTCACAACACCATTTTCGGCCCTGCCTGGTTCAATGCCCGCTTCCTCAGGCGCGGTTTTCACACGGTAGAACGTGAGTTTCTTTGCCTCGTACGCAGGCCTCTCTATTGTGAACTCTTGTCCTCCATCAACAACCCACCCTCCAACGTCATAACCATCAATAGATACATCCAAATTGCAAGCTGTAGAAAGGGAATAGAGACATTAATTTTGAATGAGCTATTAAATTCTATTAGCAAAGCTCTGTTCTATTGAATTAATATGTTTGTAATCAGGAGTGATCGCTTAAAGTTTGATAGGGACTGGCTGGCTATTCGCCCTTTTGGGTAGCTGCGAGTCGAACTGTGTTCTCTTTTCTGCGACGCAGATCTATTCCCCGAGAGCTCTTGACGACAATCTTCTCGGATCTCACGCAGTTTTCTATTCCTGCGACTGTTTTATCAATTATTTTGAAGACAAGGACATTTGGCCGGTTATCTTTGTTACAAGATCTGATAAGCATATCTGATTTCTGTTAATAATCGGATGATTATGCCACTCTGGAGTGCGCCTCTATTCTAATACGCGTCGCGATTATTTACTTATTGAAACAGTCTTATTATTCTATACTATGTCATCATGCACTTTTTTCCAGTAATAGCCTCGCCCGTTTAAAAGACGGGTTGTACACTGAGTTATGTCTGCAACGTAAGTGCATATGGCCATTCTCACCGTAGGCATGTGTGTTTTTCACGTGTATCTTATACTGCGTCCCACTCTTCATTTCCACAAACTCGCCTTCAGGAGTCTTGAAATGTTTGCCACCTAATATTTCCACAACGTAGCCTTGACAAGCGAGAAAATCTACATATCGAGTGGGCTCTGGTCCAACATGTTTGATCCGACCAGATGCCGAGCTACCCTGAATCCCCATATGTTGCTGTCCCGTCTGTGTTCCTGAAGATCCCAGTGCACTAGGGCCCCTAACACTTGACGAGGAGCCTATAGACATGAAGACGAGTTTAAATACTAGGCAACTAGGCAATGAAGAAGACATTTCAAGTTCAGATGAAATGAGGCTATTTAGAACGTTGTTCCTCCGGACAGCCGCAAACCGCTGGATTGCACGCAAGGTGGTTTCAGTCCCAAGACTAAGAATATGGCCTAAAAACGAAACTTTCAAATTACATTCTGTCAACTGAATTTTTTATGATGTTCTCATCTGCTGCTAACAAACCCATTGAGATGTCTGTTGCAACCTGCTCCAAATGTAGACGTTTCAATTTTCTTGTTAATTTGTTAATCAGCTGATCCTTGAATTTTGACCCACCTATGTTCCCATCAGATGATGTAAAACCTACAGCGGCAAGACAACTGCTTATTTGTGGAGCAGCGGCTGCATGACCGCCTCTCATAACCACTGCAGGACCACCAGCATGATCCGAACTGTTCAACAGCGACTGACGAGCAAGCTGGGATGCTTCTACCTGTTCCGGGGCTGTCGATTTAAAGTGGAAAAATACTTAATGCATTCCAAACTTAGTAATAATAAAAAAAAACTTTTAAAGGACTCAAATGCAGGAAATTAAATCGAAGTCATCGCAACCGGTCGATTATTTTTGCCAGCATATACAAATAAACAAAATCAGGGTCAAAGACTTTGTCGTAGTTGAATCTCCCGTACCTTTACTAGAGGAATTGCCCTGCGAGACGTTATGGCTAGTATTATTGCTTTAAGCTTTGAATCTTCCCAGAAACTTTAAACATACCATGACTATTATTTCCCTGATAGGCAAATACATTTTACTACACTGCTGAGAGAAGAGGGAAATTGCGTGCAGAGTTGAAAACGTGGCGACAAAACCCGATTGCTCTGACTAAGCATGCTAAAACAAGTGGTAATGCTGGTTAATGCCAAAAATATATAAAGCAGAAATGCAACCATGCATATGCAAATAGACAAAGGTTGTTGATATGTCTTAACATGATTAGTCGTTCATGTGTTAGTGCCTTAAATTTCGCTCAAAAGTACAGAGAAATTCAATTCTCTAGTTTATTCTCATGTAATTTGGTGATTTGAACAACGGTTTACAGTCCTAAGTAATATATCATAGCAAAAGTGATCCAAAAAAATGCTGACCCATTTGTCTAAAATTACTTGTGTCCCACCTTGTCGTGATCTAGCCATATCATTCAAAGGAGGGTCATCCTGAATGCCGTCTGGTACTGAGTCATCCTGCCATGCAATCTGATCACAAGTTAATGGCCCTTTTGAGAAAGTTTTAAAAACAAGTAAACAAGTCAGGATTAGCGAAAGAAGTTCAAAATTTAGTTTATGCCCTCTACCTTCTGTGTCGTTAAAAGAGAGCTTGCTTCTTTTCGCTGCATGGTTTGAAAGACTTCCATTTTCTGGACCATTCAAGCCTCCATCGGGAAATGTAGCTTCTGTGAAAAAAAAAAAAATAACAGGCTGAGTCTTAATTAAAAAGGCTCAATCTTGTCTCCAAAAACGTAAACAACGTTCGAACCTGACGACAAAGAAGTCTCTGAACCCTAACTTTAAATGTTTTTGATGGTAATTAACCATGTTTCTCGAAAGAGAACTAAGAGAATGACGAAGACAAGTGTTGTTACAGTATGTTAATTTCAAAACAAGATCACGACATACATAGTTTTATATTGTGTCCAATATACTGTCCGACAGTACCATGAATACGTACATATTTTAAAACACGCCGGTCTGGCGAATGGATACGCATTAGATGAAAAGTAATATGATGGATTTACGTCTTCAACACATCTCACATATATGTAACTGCAGCTTCAAGAACGCGTAAATGTTATTAAAATACCAAGAAGCACCGAGATGCGATTTTAGCTCATCGAGTATTAAATATTGATCATTGGACTGAAAATTCCTTTACTAAGAAAGCTAGTCGTGGTGACTACTTACACTTAAGCGGTGGGTGTTTAATTTCCGTTAGGTTCAAGCTCTCGGCGATCATTGAAATCTGAAATTCAAAGTCTCCTCCTAATTTTATAAGTTAATACACTGCCACAGTTTTGAATGTGAGACTCAACCTACAAAAAAAGACACCAAATCAAATTACGGAAACAGCGTTTCATAAAATCTTGGTCTTTCGCTTGATTGAAGTGATATTCAAACTCTATATCCTACCGTCAGTACCACTGTTCGGGGATGTTGATAAAAAAGCCTGAATTTTCCAAGCAAGATCCAGCCTGCCAACTGTTTTAAGCATATCCTGCAGAAGGTTTAGATTTCGCGGTCCAATTCTACCATCTTGCTCCAGAACATCGAAGAACTGCAACCCAGTGGCAATGTTTTCTGTTATTCTGCATGGAATGACATCGACGCCCGCGAGTTTTAACGTCTCGACGTCTTTTTTCGAAAGATCAAACGAGAAATCGACGAGTAGCTTTCTGTAAGGACTTAAGGAATTCTCTTCTTGTGCGTACACGGACGCCATTGCTACTTAATGCAAAGCGGAAAAAGCAAAGCTGAGGTCTTTGCAGGGGAGTCCCCGTTTGTTTACCTACGATGACGTAGTTTCTGTACCCATTAGCCCCAATGTCTTCACGCCTCGTCACATTTTGTCAAGCGTGTGGGCTGATTTTCTCGTAATCAACGTTGAGAAGGGAACAAGAAAGAAATAAACCTGACCAATGGTCACTCACGGGATAATACTAGCTTTTTCCGTGGCTAGAGGAGTCCCTAATGGCGGTCTTCCGCCAGCTTCTCGCTCCCTATTCTCTTTTATAATGCTCTCTTCTTCCTTTTTAACCTTGTCAATTCTGTCACAGCTAGAAAAATCGTCAAATCCTGTTCGACATGGCAGCGACTCACAAACTGATTTCCACGATAGTTAACAAGAATCACAGAGCCATACAAAATGAGGTAAACCAGTAAATTTTCAGTAAATATCTAAAAAAATCCTTTAGTGGTCCCTTAAGTGTCTCAAAAGTTTTTCCCTGAGGCCTCTAAGCCGCGGACGTACAATGGTGGAGGGTGAATGCTACCCATGAGATCTTTTCATGAACAGGATTTACTTAGTAAAGCTGAAACTTTGAGCAGCTATTCACGGCATTTCTTCCTCCAAAGTTTTGATGTGTCAACTGATTCATCATCTTACGTTGCAGTTAATGGCAATCGCTCACATTCTGTGTATGAACTTATGGTTTTATTTACGTCGTAGTTTTATTTCTTAGCAGTAATACATAAGCGTCTAAATATGATATTGTTTTTCTTCACTCTCCCAACTTAAGACCTTAAAGTCATGCACATAAACTCTACAAAACAACTTGGCAGTAAACCTTGCACACTCGACCTCGGGCCAAACTGGAACATCGATCCATCTAGACAAAGACTGTAGCGAGTCCTGGTACTCACACAGCCAGCAAACTACGAGTCCCAGGTCCAATAGTTTGGGTCCGAGACCCATAAAAAAATCCCATACCCTCGTGGATAAATAGTTCGCCATTTAGTGTTCTTGGCGACCAGCATGTCAAAAGAGCGTAGTATTTTGAAAATT